TACGAACGTCAACGCTCATCGCCAAATGGTGGAAATCCGTGTCTTCTACTAAAAAGACTATTATCACATCTAAAATGCAAAGTCACATTCCACTGATAAAAATAATTAGTAAAGACGAAACATACTACATAAACAAAACAACAAACATTTCAAATCCAAGCCAATTAATAAACGAAGAACAGGAATGCTCAGCTACAAACGAAGTTGAAATGGAACCAATAGAAAAGATTGAAGAGAATAAAACCAGTATCGAACTAACCTACCAGGATGAAAGCTGGAAGGTGGCAAGTTATAACAAAAAATGGAAAATAGCACCAAACACAAACGTTAGGAAACATATAGAAGCAGAAAAAAAACAATGGCTACAAGAAATCACACTCCGAAACTCCTTCAGCGCACTGCGAGAGAAGAAAGAAACCGTTGTCAGCAGTATATGTACCACCGCGACACAAAATGACAACACAAATGTGGGAAGAGTACTTTCGACACTTAGGTGACAAGTATATTGCAGCTGGAGACTATAACTCAAAGCACACACTATGGGGATCAAGAATCAGCACACCTCGAGGCAGAACCGTGGAAAAATACATTAGAAATAATAACCTGAATATACTATCCACAGGAAGACCGACATACTGGCCGGCAGACTTGAGCAAAATACCTGACCTGCTAGGCTTTGCAGTTACGAAGGGACTAAACGCAAATAAACTAAACATAGCACCCAGCCTCGAGCTTACCTCCGACCATGCGCCCATAATAATTACATACAGAAGCAAACCAATACTTTACAGCAGCACAGAGAAGCTATGCAATAAAACCCCCAAATGGCACATATTCAAATAAATTGTAGAGAGCAAAATCAGCTGCAACAACCCACTGAAAACACCTGCACACATCGATCAAGCAGTAACAACACTCACAGAAACTATCCAAGAAGCAGCAAGGGCAACCACTATACCTGAAACAACCAAGAGACAAACAAAAACAGTTCCACTAGACATTCTCGAAAAAATTAGAGAAAAAAGAAAAGCGAAAGCAAAAT